ACTGTGATGCAGTAAGGGCCCTGCAGGGGGAACAATACGGGCCTGCCTTCCTGACCTCTCTGTCTAACAGATCCTACAGACATACAATGACTGCCTTAATTACCAGCCTCCATTCCCACCACTTGGGCTTTCCCCAATGGTACCCATTCAGAACCGCAGTCTCTCCCTAAGGTGCCCATTCAAGCGCAACACAAAGCCAGCAGTGTCGGTCCCTGATCTCTTGACACCAAATCCAGTCCTGTGAGCCAGCACTTGCAGCTTCACAGTGTCTCTGCCTGTCCGTCTGGTTGTTCGTCTTCTTCGTCAGTCTGTCTCCTATCTTGGAAGAATCTCTGTTGTTCACATCTGACAAGAATCCGTGCTGCTACGAGGAGCAATTAGTTTGACCAAATACCGATCAACCAGTAGAGATAAACACGAAACTTAGGTGCCGTCTGATGTGGATGTATGAGTCTGGTGGTTTGCCGTGTGGAACACCAGTCCATTCTGAAGTCTTTTTCAACCTCTACCTCTTTCTCAGCTCGCTAATGAGTTGTGGTAGAGAGAACAGGTTACGGTAACGGTCAGGATGGAGAAAATAATGTAACACTTCATGTAAAGTGTCTGTTAAGTAGCTTAATCAGATAATTCCAGTTACTGGTGTTTGTCAGCTGAAAAATAAGTTTGGTTCTCAGTCGTTTAGTATGTAAGTTTATATAGTGATCAGATCTTCTGAACCTAAACTGCTGCATCTAAAGCTGAAAATAGCATTACCATTAATCCACAAATTACTTTCTCAAGTTATCGTTTGGTCTATAAAACATTAGCAAATAAAGAAAAGGGTCCATCACAATGATACAAAATACAGTTTACTATGTCGTAAGATCAGGAAATGCATCTGAATGATGCATCTGAAAATCAATCAATACATTTTCTGTCAATCTAGTTGAGTCTAGAGAGTAAATATTAAAAGATGTTGACAATACTGATGTGAAGATATGTGATTTAAATATATGGCTTATTACATGACATTACATGAGACTTTCAAATTTCGCATGAGCTAAAAAAGCCCTTTGGCTCTGATGTGCTACCAGGACATCATGCTGTAGTGAAAATCTGACCTTTGACCCTCTGATCCCTCCCTTCTCCCTCAGTGAAAGGCGAACCATCCCAGTTCCTGAGGCCTCAGTGTATGGCTGCTGACCCCCGTAACACTGTACTTGTGTTTACTTGTGTTGTTACTGAACAAGTAATTGCTGGTGTTGTTTTTCTTCAATATGACCTCGATCAATTTTCTAATATTTTGATGAACTGTAGATGTTTTGGCTTTCAACGTGGAATGGTATTCAGTAGAAAGGTAAAATGTTACACTTTTAAAGATGTTTGTGCTAAAGTACTCTAAGACAACAAAAGAGCTAGCACAGAGACTGGACTGTAAAATGAGGGGTGACCTGGTTTCTCTCATGCTGCAAGCTTACATAAAGCAATGTGACGGGCAACTGCCCCAAAAAAATTATTGTTTATTTTCTTCTATTAACTGCAGCCTTCATTTTACAGTGCTGGCTCAGCAGCATGACAGGAAAAAAGATTCACATTATTATATAAATAAGCTAATAGAATCATGTAGCAAAACTTAAGACAATACACCCTTAGTCTGTGTGTGAAAGGAAGGACTGATCAGATGACAGGAGGTGTAAAATCCATTTGAGATGAGACAACTTAGTGTCAGCTTAGTTTCACCTAAAAGAAGCTAAACTGTATCTGTTGACATAAGAGTAAGCTGACAGTAAGTCAGTAGATGGTATTTTGAGGCTTCATACAGCTCTATCCTGATGATGCAGTTTTGAGCTCTGATTGTCATTTCACTGTATTTCAGCATTTAATCTGAGAGCAGCTGTAGGTTTACCTGACTATGGCAAATGTAACAGTGCACTGCCTCCTAGAGATGGGGATAGAGGTGTCACGGTTACCAAAACAGGAAGTGGTGCGATTGTTGTCTCAGCAAAATCTGAGAGGAAGAATGGGATTTCTGTACAGAACACAAACCAGCTGGCAGGAAACCACACTTTTATCATTCTTTTAACTTTGATTTCCTTTCAGGGGAAGTGCCCTCACTCCCCTTTCACTGGCTCACTGTCTCTCAGCTCCCATGCCTTCTCACGCTTTCGATCCATACCTTCTCTGTGTCTGACACAGACAAACTCAGTTAGCGCTCCATGCCATGACAATGACACATTCAAACTGCCTGCCTGCCACAACAAATTTCTGCAGTCATGTCAGAACTGGCCCCACCGTACAGAGATCATGGGGGTAAAATGTGAAGCACTCTCTTACGACAAATGTTGAAGTGTGACTGGGGTGTTGAAAGATTGTTTATTGACAGGGTTAACAAACTCCTGGATGCATAAAGAGAGAGAGAATGAAGCAGAGACTAGAAGACAGAAAACAGCTGGTGGAGGAAGAGGAAAATGTAAATACACGATTTCCCAAAAGATATCTTTCAGTGAAGGCAGGAGGTTGGTTCAATAGAGATTAGAAAAGCTAAAGGACAGATGTAGGATCTATGTTCCTTCTCCTCCCAGGAACATTACCCTCAGGGGTATAACTAAGGTCTCCAGCTCCGTTAAGCCCACATAATCTTTTGAACTATTGAATAATCAGCACTGAACTAACTATTAAAGAGGGCAAGGGCAAGCAAGCTATTTTAGACAGTTTAACAGCATGTTTCCAATACAAGAGTTGTCAGAGGCTTGAGGCAGAGTTGTTCTGAATATGGGATAGAAGCTGCACATAGGAATATCAAACTGGTATTTAGGATTTTTTTTATGTGGAGTGGAAAATGTGGATTTTTGAACCAAATTCTCCGCAAAGCGTGAGGAAAAAAATGACCTGAGTGAAGTGAATCAGACAGGTTTTTGCTGCTACAGAGTTACCCACAAGCAAGGCACTGTTTCTGATTAAATGTTATAGCTGAAACGCCAACAGTATTACACCATGGGAGCGATCTACCTGTGAATGTGACCGCCTACCCTCCTTTCTTAAATATTCCCCTGGGGCTTTTATATGAACACAATAAATACTCATACCCAGCATACTTGTTAACTGGTAAATAAATTAAGGGGAAATAACAATGGTGCTGTTTGTTATCATTCAAGCATTTTAATTTTAATAAATGTGTGTGTCTTCAGTTACAAGCAGAGTCTTCAAAGTTTTTAGTTTCAGTTAAATCTATTTGCACCCTAAAGAGCACCAGTCTTTAGATCTTAACTCAAGAAAATTGCTATTCTATTCTACATCCTCTAAAATCTTCCTGAGAATAACTAGAAAGAGTAGAGAAAGTGTGTGCTGAAAAAGGCAGAACTGATCAACAAGCTTGAACATGATTTAATTAAGACTTCATTATTGGAGTTACACAGCATAAAAGGGTGTACCCAAACAGGGCTAAAATGCTTGTTTTCCACAAGGGAAGCACACAGATTGTGCTGTGTGTATAGATGTAACTGGTAAATTATAAACTTACAATGTGTATTTAACACAGTATCTCCCCTACTCTACCTCCAGCCCCTAGTACATCAGCAAACGGAAACATTATAACAAAGTGGTTGCACAATTATCCCGGCACGACTGCCAAGCAATTCGGAAAAAGATCACTGCTCTGTCAAAGGCAAATACTGGGAGATTTAAAACCAAATACATTTTGTCAAAACAACAGCCACTGATGTTTGTTATGGTGGACAAAGTGGGCCACAGTAATGACAAGTCATTAAGTTTATCACCACCAACCAAAGGAAAAGCACACATTTGGCAAGTCAGACATTACTCAAAGCGTGATTTGCCTCTGAAGAGGCCCTCCCTTCACAGCTCACTTCAGGTCTCCGTGTTGACACTGTTATGGGAGATTATGGAGACCATTTGTCACAAAGGGCTGAATGCTGCCCTAATTACCATTGCATGAGGTGAGGTCCATCACAGCAATCGGCATATGGTCCCAGATACATGCTAGAGGAGAAACAGGCGTGACCAAATCACAGGCTTGACTGACTGACAGGGACTGGGATGGGGGAAATGTCTGCACATGCACTTATTAAACAGAAACAGGACATCCTTTTGAAGTTCATCCTTGTTCATTCAGCAGAGTGCAGAAACTTGAACAATTCAGTGACATTGGATATGTCTCACATGGGACACATTTTGGCCCATGTCAGCTCACTTTAATAAATTATGGTAAGTCAGATATCACTACAGAGATAACTAGAGGAGAATTCAAAAGAAAAAAATAAGTTTGAAATTATGACCTGTTTGAACAAAAGGCACATTATCCTGGTTCAATGAAAAAAGGCTCTGTCTGTGGATCAATGAGCTCCACGTGTTTCTGTTCAAAACCATTAACTGTGATGCTTCTTTTCTATTTACCATATTTAAGTATAGTCATCAGCTTAATGGTGGAGGGGTCGTTGAGGTCGTTGAGCGGACCTAAAGTTGCATGAATATCATTCAAGTGTTGACATAAACAAGTACTTTGATGTTAGCAAAGATATTTTGCTAACCTGAATCTTGTTTATTACAATTGCCCGTGTTAGTGATTGATAAAAATGAAATCCACTTTTGCCGTGGTGGGGGGGGGCTTGAACTTTTTTGTTTCTGAAGGGAGGGCGTAACAGAAAAAGTTTGAGAACCACTAGGCTACATCCAGCAGCTGGTTAGCTTTGCCCAACACAAGGACTTGAAACAAGAGGAAACAGCTAGCTGGTTCTGTTTAATCTCTTAATTTTATTTAATATGTAAAAATGTTATATAAAAATAAAAAGATTAATATTCGTATTTAACTCTAAAAGCTAATAAGCGTATTACCCAAAATGTCAAACTGTTATTTTCTCAATCAGCATCTTACTACAAACAATAAGCTACTACGTAAATTTTATGCTTAACTTTAGTTTTGTCTGCGCTTTTCTCACTGGTTTGAAGTGAACAGGACTCACTTGGAAAATACTGATCAGGATTTAGCATTATTTGAAACAAAATAAGATGACAGCTTTGGGTTACTTTATTAAGATTTATCTTATAAATACTTCTAAGATTTGAAACCACCTTTTTGAAATAGGCAAAAAGTTGAAAACAGGTGTAGTCATGAATGTTATGTCAGTTATTTTTATAAATTAAATATTCTACCTTTCAAAAATCAGAAATCTTTTTCCAGAAGAACAAAAAAAAAACATGCCCAGGAAACGATAATTCTGACAGACTGAATCAGGGGAATGCACTGGGACCAGGAATGGGGCATAGTAACTCAGGAGGCTCTGAGACGGACATAAAACACACACACACACACCAGCACACAGCAACAGCAGCAGAAGCAGCAGCAGCAGCAGCAGCAGCAGCAGCAGCCACCCCCACATACCCACAAACCTGCATTCCAGCAAAGAGATTTTCCATGAATCTTTCTACAGGGAGACATAGCAAGAAGCTGTCATTCAATGCATAATTTTGATTACTCAAATCAGAGGTGGAGTCAACTGTTCAGAGGATTAGTCCACTGAACAGAACCAAATCATGAGTGCAAGTGGAAGACATCTTGGACAGGGGCCAGAGCATGGCAGTGAGGGGCATTCTGCTCATAACTGGGGGAGCGACCTCATTTTCCGAATAAAAGCCAGTTTACATAACACCTCTGTCCCCATGACAGGGAGCACCGGGCAGCTGCTGCCAGGCCTGTGGCTTTCTCTTAACTACCAAGAGTTCCATGAAAAATAATATAATTCTATCAGCACAGCCACAAGTCTATTCTGTGTGATTCCAATATTAACATGTTAGAACAAAAAAAGGTTTTAAATTTTAAGTAATGCATAAACACTTTTGTAACCTCAAATATTTAATTGCCAAGCCACTATTCTCTCAGAACCAAGCAATGCAAAGAATAGGGAAACCACCAACTAATAATATAAAATGTATAACAATATAATATATAAGTAAAACTAATAGTAAAAAAAAACAGAATTTTCAAATTAAAATGACCATTAAAGTCAGTCATTGTTCTTCTGGTAAAATTATGATATCTGGTCAAACAATTGTCTACTTGGTAGGTGTATTAAAAGTCAGTACACAGTAAGCAGCTGACCAAAACAAATGGAGGGGGAGGCACTCACTATCTTGGAGAAATCGCAGACAAGTCGTTTAAATGTGAATTGAAATGGTCAATGTAGTTCTTAGTGTGTGAATTTTCATATATAAATATCAGAATTGTGAGAAATGCAGTTTTTAAATTCTGGATGAGGACTCTCATTTGTATGTCCCCCCAAGGTAGATACCATGGTTACGCCCTTGGTGTACTATTTAAATAAAGTGTTATTCTATAGTTTTGTTTTTATCAACATATCCTATAAAAAGACTAAAACCAAAAATGCATTAGCTCGTCTCTCAGTGTTTTCTGACCCACCCTGTCTGTCAATTGGTTGCCACTAAAGTAAATTTTAAACACAGGACACAAATACACAATTTCATTTAAAAAAAGAGTTATTTCCAAAAGCAATTGTGCGCTTTAGTTTTTAGCAAACATAACTTGTGGATAGTACATTTGTTTGGACTATTTGCAGCTGTGGATTAGCACACATTTGGTGCTCTAATTAGTAATTACAGCAGCAAGGCATCTTAAGGTTAAAAAAAACTACAGTGCTCAGTGTCCATCAGAATGAAGGAACATACATTGGAACAGTAAGGTTCATTAATGTGCTTTTAAAGGTTTTTTGGACAACAATGGAGGTCTCCACCACAGAAGAATAAGCTATATCAGGCTTTATATAAAGTGTTGTTAGTATCAGTTCATTGTTATTTTTGGTCTTTTCATGGGATTTGTTGACAAAAAACAAATGCAGAATATCACTAGCCTTGGCATTTAAATAAAAAGAACACAAACGTGTGTCATGTGATATTCAGTCCATTTTAACATACAAACGTTACCCTTACCTAAACTCAGTAATAGAAGTCACAGCACAAAAGAACACAATAAAACACAGTGAGGTGAAGTAGAAGAGGAAGACTGTACTGTACATGGCATCAGAATGGGATTCTTTGCTGGACCTGGATGACATATACTCATAGCACTGTGAAGCAAAAGCCTCTGTTTTTTTTGGCAAAGCACCTCTGGACAGGACAGACTATTAGTGACACATTTATCCTTAAATGCATTCCAGTGCAGGGAGACACCAGAAACTCCATGGGCACACAACTGATCCCTGCACCTCCTGAAACAGAGTAACAATAATGTAGGACAAGGAAATATTGTTCGGAAAATGACACCTGTCTTGGCTAATGGTGAAGCTGAACACTTGCCATTAAAAACTCATGTTACTATTGCAAGATGTGTGTCACATCTGTTATTTGGGTCTTCAGCTGGTTGGGTAAGGCTCAGCTATCATTGGCACACAATGACAGGTGACTGGGCAATAGTGTAAGTGATGTAGCACAAAAGGAAGGTAAATTTATGGAGAGAAAAGCCCAGGAGAGACCTAAATAACTGAGATGGGGTTGAACTGTGTAGGTGCGGAGGCCGTTTGGAGACTTTGCTGCTTTCTGAGTTACTGTTGGCAGTTTAACGAACCACTGAAATATAAAACAGAAGATAGCTATGTGTGATTTTGAGGTCCCCCCTGAATGCTTACATCTATAACTAGATCGATTTTACAGCTTCTATTGCCAAAGGAGTTTAGTTTAATAAAGCACCATTTTAAACATTTTTTAAATCTTTTAAAATGGTACACTGAAGATGTTTAAATATACACAGCATATGGTTTAGAAATGCGGACATATGGAAAAAGTAATAAACATACTAGATTATGTATTACTTGATGCACAACTGCTCCTATGTGGAGTATCAGCATCATTTGATCACTACTCACACCAGCAACTACAGCACTACTTACAGGAAGAATGAAGGTAGAAGTTACTTGTTGCATGATATACCACGACTCAAAAGTCTCATCGGAGTTGTCAATAGATGATCTAATTCCCACACATTGCATTTTGTAGCTGTCCAGGAGATATTTCATCAGTATACAGGTCTTTTACAGACCTCCCGAGACTAGTCATCATATGTCATAAAGCGAGTCAAAGCATTTTAATCTCACATCTGCTCCTCATTACCATTCCATGCAAAAGAAACGCAGGGCTGGGGTTAGGCTGTTGCACCTCACCCAGGGAAAGGGAGAGGAAAAATAATGGGAGAGGTAAAATAAAGACATAGAGAGGAGAGAGATTATTAGGCAACATGAGTCCAAAAACAAAAACCTGTATGTAAATATTTCACAAATCCAAGGGAAAGTGACATTGTGTTCCTCTTATGAAATTAGATCACTTCCAGGCCGCAGTCCCAGCCATGGAGTTTGCCTTTACAAGGCGCTATATAACACCACAATGACAGATCCACCACAGCAATTTCATAGTCCATTCTTTTCTCAACAACTCCTGCAAACTCCACAAAATATCTCTTCACTTTTGCTATAGTTACCATGCATGAACACAATATGTGTAACTCCTAAGTTTTCCTCTCATTTGTATGTATTTTAAAGTAAGGGCAGGGATCATTTAAAACCTAAATTTATCCTGGTGTTCACCAAAATGAGTTTAGATCTTGGGAGATGACAGCAGCTGAGACCCTATTAGTCACACATAACCTCCATCCTAGACCTAAAGGTGGATTTACCCAAAATCCCTGCATCATAACAGACTCAATCTGTAGGAAATTTGAAGGCAGACGAATGCAACTTTGACTTTGTGGCTCATGCTAACATGGCTAACATGCTCATTCAAATGCAAAGAGAGACAGTTTCACCTTGAATTAGTCCAACACGTTCATTTATCATGGTTATAACGGACAGTTTCTTGTAGTGTAATGATGTGGCAGTTAAGATGCACACAAGCACACGTAAACACACTTTCACACACATGACTACAGAAGACAGAGGCCAGCCTGTTTAACAAGTAGGTCAAATCAGAGCCAAAGAGAGAGAGAGGGAAAGAAAGACAGAGAGACAGGCATTGGCTGGAGCAAGCACAGCTTTTAGAGCCATCAGTCATTGGCTTGTATGAATCAAATGAAAAGACACCGAAGAAGTCTAAAGACACACAGTTATTGCAATGCAAAACACAAGTTAATAATCAAACAATAGGGTATGTACACCCAACAATATAAAATATTTGTTTCATCTGAAGACAAGATTATGTAATGTATGCATGTTACAAGCCTCACCTGAGGGCAGTCTTTGATGTAATGGCCCTTGTTGAAGCACAGATGGCACAAGTAGTTGGGTGGAGGTCTTTTGTTGGGTTTTCTTGGCTCTGAAGAAAGGGAAAGGTCTGAGAAATGGTCCGTCAGGGAGTTGAGTCCATCTACGATGTTGTTCAGGGAGCCATAGGGTGACACATTCTTATACACGTTGTTGTTTAAGGCCTACAAAATAAGAATTATATCAGACAAGGTTCAATTTTAACGTCATTCTTCTGATTCTTTGTCTACAATGTGTCAAGTACGATATATTGTAGATACAGAACAGTCTTGGGGCGTCTTCACACTCAGATCACACAATTCCCAACTCTCAGAGCTTCATACAGTCATGTCAGACTTGTTGACACACAGATTGGTGGACAACATTGCCACATACAAGAGTATAGTATCACATAAATATTGCATTTCTGGTTGTGTTAAAAATGCTGAGATTATCATCAATTTCCTTTGAGTGCTCTCTGTCCTATTTTTCTGCTGCACAAAAAAAAGAAAAAAAACCCTCCAAGATCATTTCTCTCATTAAATTCAGAACATCTGGCGAGAGGCCCAGCTGTGCTCATGAGCTGGAAAAGTACTGAGCATGTCCACAGAGAAAGACAGGACTTTACAGAGGATGACTCATTGTAAACAAGATGGGAGGCATGTTCCCTTGCCAGCCTGTGGAACATCAGCAATGTCACCATGCACTGTTGGTGGTAAACTAGCCATGGTCAGTGTTTGTAGTCTGCTCGGAGCCACAGAGCACAGTGTTGCATGCCACATGGCCCAGTGAATTCATAGAAGATGCCATCTGAATATTAATAACAGGGAAAGCATTGCCTGCAGTCCCTTATTTCCCATCTCATTCATGCCTTCCTCTCTTCATACACGATCCAGAAATGACAGACAGGAATTGACCTCTGGGTGAAATTATGCTGATTTTAGCGTTTGTATTTTTTTAATGGTTGGGTAATTGACCTGTGTGGAAAAGTTGCTAAACAAACAGTCTAACCAGTCAGCTGCCTAGTTTAACTGCACTAATAACAAATGGATGAGACACCACTCTGAAGTAAAAAATGTCAGTGGCATGATGAAATCCACAGATAGACTCTTCCTCATCCCTGACGGTCATGCCTCTGTTTGGGGCACAGCTTTGCATCTAGGAATTGATGTTACTGTTGATGTTGAATGTTGCACAGCACAGAAACCTCAGATTTGGCAACCTGGCCAGGCATGGAAGCCAAATCTGCATCTGCAGGCTGTGAGATTGTCTTGCTAACCAGCTCCAGCTTTAAGACTCATGTTCATTTATTACATGTAGTCATCGTAAATCAAGCATTACGGCGCTGTAGTTTCTCAAGTTTTCCATCTGTCGTGCATTTTAGCTCAGTGTATTACTGTGTTATGTATTAACACTCCTCGAGGACATGTGCATGTTTGTGTATTCACTATACTTAAGTCTTACTGTAATGCAGATAGTGAAATTGTTGTAACAAATATAAAAACAGGAAACTTTGCTCAATTGATGTTCCTCGCATTTCTTCAATTTGGCCTGAAACCTCCGACTGTCAGCACAAAGGAAACTGATTTCACACACATCTGCTAATGGTGGGGTGAGACAGTTTGTTTATTTTGTGTGTCTGTGAGAGTGAGTGAGTGAGTGAGTGAGTGAGCAGGAGGGTGTGTGTTTATGTGTGTGGGGATGGACGTGTATGTGTTGACCAGAACAATGAGGACTAAACTGGTATCATTACTAGTCAGTGAGTGAGGTGGACAACTGTAGCAGACATGGGACTGTTTTCACAGGTCCAGGGAGGAAATGTCACACTGCAGAGGGCAATCACACCAGGTCTGTGGTGTCTGGTGGACACTTTAAAGGTGAGTGACTTGTGGTAGAATAATAAAATTCCACAGGAAACTACTATAGGGTTGGATTAATCCATACTGGTTATAAATGTTCTAAGGTCACATTATAAGTCACATAATAAGTATTTATTCTTATTGGCCAAGAACCAGATAAAGAGGGAGAAAACGTTACAAACATTAACATAAAGCAGTCAGCAGATGAGATTGCAGTAAGCATACTTTGGCCACAATAGGAGTTTTCAATCAACAACAAATCAGCCACCATTTCACTTTAAGTAGACTGTTGTGTGATCCGTCACTGCAAAAACAACCACAGTTTGCATTACTCATCTCATCATCAAATCTCTGCAGTGGTTTATTTTACTTGGCTTAGCCGGTATAGTAAGTTGCAAAATACCCCCCCCCCCCCCCAACCACTTAAACCATTTCCAGACTGTGTGCGTTCCCTCAGTTTGAAACACTTTATACTCATGCGGATTGAATGGCATTACACAACAGTGTGTAATGTATAATGTGCACACCCAATTTTCAGAGGACTGTTTCATGTTAAATTACCTCAAAAGGCCTCTATGGTTACCACTATAATAATGGACACTGGCTCTAGATGCTGAATACACCATCTATCCCCTACTAGAGTTTCCAACACATAGCATACGAGGAACATAGATCTAAGAAACTTAACAGCATTGTAATCAACACACAGGGAAGCGTGCTGGTTATTCTTTAGATTAACATTTTTGCCCACCATATGTGATCATTTGTCTGTGTGTGCTGCATGAGGTTGAGGGGCGAGATGGTGGTGGTGGGTCCTTTTTTGCACTCTATGGTCTGCAGTATCAGGTTTGCACCTTGCATACATTATCAGCATGTTTGTCCCTAAAATTACACTGAGATACAAAAATAGCCAATATGTAAACAAGGATTGATTTTGTTTGCACAACCAGGTCTATTTGAGGAAGTCCGAGACAGCAGGCCTCAGCAGGAGGCTGCAGTGGCCCGCTCTCTCCAGGCAGAGGTGTGCAGGGGAATCTATTTCCATCCGGCCGTCTTTGCCATTCTGATCAGAGACATGTCTGATTAAAACCCCGTTTCACCTCTACATTGAACCATAACTCACTAGTGTGCTGAAAACAAACGCTGTTATTCCGATGTATTTAATGAGATGATATGGAAAGGGAATTTAATTGTCTATACATAGTTAACCATGTTTTGATATATAGCTATTTAACCATCTAGTAAGGTTGAATAAGCTTAGCCAAATTAAATTTCAAATTCACAAACAATCCTATAATATTCCTGCAGTTAAGAGTATAACTGAGTTACTCACAAGTGAGTTTATAGTGACACACTACTTAGCCTACTGTAGTGTACTGACAACCTCCTGTGGAATCTTGATATCCCTTTTTGGGCTTATAATTTTGCAGTGATATTTACAGTAGCCTATATCTTTCTTGTTTTATATAAAGTATGATAATGCTTGGCCTATTAAATGTTCTGATATATTGTTTTTCAACACTACTACAACATGAGACTATTTGAAGTTACTGTCCATATTAGAAATATCATGGCGGTTCTGGATACCCTACCAGACTAGTCCATGCTGTACATGCTAAAATATTTGCTGCACAGACGTGCAACAGTCAACAGATCAACCAAGTCTGTTTCTTACTGTAGTAAATCCATCACAATCTGACACTGTTAAATACCCCAGTTAGGTACATGTATGCGGCATGCCATCTTTCACCTCATTCCGCTGCAGCTGAAAGAAGTTGTTGAGATAGTTGGAGTTCAGGGAAGAGCTCAAGTCCGCCGCTGCGGGAGTCTTGCTGAAATTGAGATCCGGGTGGGAAGAGTTGGGTTCGGGTCTGAATGCGTCAAAGGCGCTTGTCTGGTGGGGGTCTTGTAAGGAAAGATAGACCCAGTTGAGAAGTTGCGCGGGTTGGTACACGGAGGCACTCGTGTCTATGGCAGACAACAAGCTCATCTTTCAATTCAAATGGCTAAACTGGATTTTCCACCGCTGATTCTTGGACTGGTCTCAACTATTTTGCCGTCTTGCTTTTCGTTCCCGTAACCCGGCAGATGGCAAGTGCTCCTTTTTTCTTCCCGTACACAGCCCTGTCCTCCTCACGCCGGGAGCCTCGTCCCAGTTAGATGTTACTCAAAATTCATTGCGCTACCATGTCAGTATAAAAAGTTTTCCCCTGCTCCCCATGGTCAGCTATCTGCCTTTATTGCAGCGGGGCAGAGAGAGACTCTTTGAATATGTAATGAGGACGGCTCTGCGTCACCGAGGACGCGGGCCAATGACCGTCTGGTTTGTATGAATATTCAGTGTTAGCCTACAGGATGAGACAAATGGTTCATCTGGCTATTCCAACTTCAACCCAACAGCTCAGCTTTATCAAAAGGTTAATAGCCCTACATACTGCTATATCAGATACTAAATTAAAACAATTTAACAGACTGTCTCTGAGTCACATTAATATAGTCTATGTATTACTTATGTTACAAGAATGTTACAAGTATTAGCATTCATCATTAATTAACATTTGTTTTGTCTATAGATGTTAAAAAGTGGCATGTGTGCTTGTGTGTTTTTTTGGGGGAGGTGGGGGGTTGTTCAGGAACAGAGGTGAGATGATTTTGTATGGCTTAGGCCTATCTGATCAGTAAGTCAACAGTATTTCACATAAGCCTATAGCTACTTAGGCTACATGCATGATTCTGTCCGTTTGAAAAAAGATTTCTTCATGTGCACAAGAAAAAATATGCACCATTAGAAAATACCGACCAATCAAATCACTTAATCAGTCAATAAAATCAGCACCTCAACACCAGCCCAAGGCCTTTTTCAGGGCCTAGCATCTCTATTATGTATGTCCCAGCCTCCAAACCGACCTGAAGCTGGCAGGCAGACCAGTAGACTACGGTACGGGGAAAGCTTTAAAAACGGCTCCCTCTTGTGGCAACTGTCCTTCACTCACACATACAGTACAGGACAGTGGCCTGCAGTTGTTTCAGTCTTAACATAATATTTTGCAGAGGTAGGATCAGCACAACCACCTGTACAAACAATAACCAGTCAGACAGTATTTTGAAGAAAGCATTACAGCTTATGGTGAAAAATATGTTTCATCATCCCAATTTTAATTATATTTCCATAGGTTTCATTGTTGTTATGTAATAAAGTGTAGGCCATATGGACTACTGTAACATACAATAGAATGTTCTGGGTGTATGTGTGTAATTGTTTTATTTCATTTTATTTTTTTTTATATTTTGTTACCATATTTTAGCAGAGGCTACATTTAAGTTCTGCGTGTGAAGCATGAAGGACTACAAAATTTATTTTCGTTATACAACCTTTTGTTGTACTTGTCAGTAGGCCTATATACAATTCATACTTTCTAATCATATCGTTAAGAATTAGTAGCTACATGTGTGTCTGTGTGTCAGTAAACACAACAATGATTTAACTCAATTTTAATTTTGATTGAATACCTGTGCCAGGTAGTATGTTTTAGGCAACACCTGTCAATTAGACAGGCCTATTGTAACATCACAGTGAAATAACAGACTGTGTCACATTTTCCATAATGTCACTGTGAACACGTAGCCTATTGGTTTTATTACCGGCGGTATTCACATGGTGTAGCCTATCTGTCACTGGTCTCTGACGGGTAAACAGTAGATGGGTGGGTTCCCGAAATCAAAGGTATGACTCCCACCCACACCAGTCTGACCAGTGTTGTCCTGCTGTTTTGTGTAAGTTTGCTGTGAGGGAGGGAGCTTGCAGAATATGGGTGTGTAGTTACTCTTTAAATACAGCCAATACTGCTACACTAGTCAAACGTTTTCCAGGAAGCGACTGCAAGCAGACTAAAGTAAGTGCTGAAATCAAACAACTACTCAACCAGGCCGAGCTAAAATAGCAAATGACACAATAGCACACGTTTATAAGTTATAGTTTGATAAGTGGCAATTATATTTGGAGTCGTTCTGTGGTCTAACGTTGCTCTGCTGTTCTCGGCGCTGTCGTTAGCCTGCCAACGTGTAACGTTATTACAGTTAACTTACCAGTGCCATTAAATCCTAACCCTACAAAATGCTCGTTTAACGTTAGGTCGTAGCTTCACTTTGCTGCTGGACTTGTGTTTGTTTAGCAGGACTTACTTGACACGTCTGACGTATCGACATTATGTAAAATGGGAGGTAACGTTATCTAAAGTTAGCTTTTCAATAGGAGATTTGTACAGGCCTGAAGCAGCCTTGTAACGGTAGAAGCTAGCTCACTGTTCAAAACCAAAATTCTGTTCGTGTTATAAGTTAAATGTCTGTTTCCCATTGACTAACAGTGCGTTTAGCATATTGTTAACGTTAGCCTATCAGTGCATTGTACTCGCTATCCAAGATATATTAATTAGCTGTAGTAACGTCTTGTGTCTGCCCGAAATAGCTTCATAGGTTTTTAAGTGAGTGAACCTAGGTGAGCGTCACAACAAAATGGAGCCAGGATATTAACATTAGCTAATAATAATCGCCTCTGTCTTGTAACACCATAGGATGTTGCAGTTGCCTTGTGCTGGCAACTTATTAA